CAGAGGAAGCACCATTTTATCAGGGGCTTCTCCATAAAAATGAAATGTAGAAGTTTGGAACTTGCCACGGGCAGTAGTTTTTATTTACATTCTGCACATAGATTATGATATACGTAGTAAGTGTCCACCTTGAATAAGGGAATTAATGATTCCACTTATGATACCAGCAGAGGAAAATCTGCACCGTGACTGCCTTTTCTCTTCTGGATGATGAATTCCTGAAAGTTTGTTAATATCCACTAATAGACGCCTTCCACTCATGGTTAACGGCTCCACAGGAACCGCTTCCAGGAGAGATGGGAGCATGACCACATCGTTTGCCAAGTGCGTGGACACTGATTGTTTTATGCCATCAATTACAGCCTATGCATTGATATGAGCTCACAATTGCCATGGAAATCGTCTTAAACTAAGAAATTCTAAATGTCTCTGTGAAATACATACCATGCAAATCTCTTTTATGAAATACCCATGTGTGTCTATCATCTTTTCCCAAACCTCTCTGAAATATAACTTTATTGAAGCAAAGAATAGTGTGTCTGTGAATAAGTCAGAGCAGGCTGCCTGCCCCTGCCCCAGGCCAATAGCATCCCTTGTCCCTGGAGCAGAAGCCACATCCCTCACTGTGACGAGGAAAGCTCTGCTTCCGGGCCCCACCGCCCCACTGCAGCTCTGACCTTGACTCCTGCACTCTGAAAGAAACTATACATTCTTATACTAATCTCACTACAATCCTTTTTTCATCATAACTTTCTCTGCTACTGAATTAATTATATTTTATATTTTATTCGAAGCTACCTTAATTCCTACACTAATTATTATTCCTCGATGAGGAAACCAAACCGAACGATTAAATGCAGGATTATCTTTTCTATTTTATACCCTGGTAGGTTCATTACCCTTACTAGTAGCATTAATTTACATTCAAAAATCTACAGGATCCTTAAATTTTATTATTTCACTGTACCAGTCACCTGGCCTCCCTATATCCTGAACAAATGACATTCTATGATTAGCATGTATTATAGCTTTTATAGTTAAGATACCCCTATACGGTCTTCACCTTTGATTACCAAAAGCTCACGTTGAAGCCCCCATTGCTGGTTCTATAGTTTTAGCTGCTATTCTACTAAAACTTGGTGGATATGGAATAATTCAAATTTCAACTTTATTACCTCCTATCACATGTAATATGGCGTATCCCTTTATTATGCTATCATTGTGAGGCATAATTATAACAAGCTCAATCTGCTTACGACAAACAGACCTAAAATCCCTCATCACTTACTCTTCAGTAAGTCACATAGCACTAGTAATTGTAGCAATTATGATTCAAACCCCTTGAAGTTTTATAGGAGCTACAGCACTAATAATTGCCCACGGACTAACATCTTCCATACTATTCTGTCTAGCAAACACTAACTATGAACGAATTCACAGTCGAACTATAACACTAGCCCGAGGCTTACAGTCTATTCTTCCCCTTATAGCGACATGGTGCGTTTTAGCTACCTTAACCAATTTAGCTCTCCCACCTTCCATTAATCTAATTGGCAAACTATTCATTATTATAGCATCATTTACTTGATCAAGTGTTACAATTGTCTTAACCGGACTAAATATATTAATCACAGCTCTTTACTCACTATATATACTAATTATAACACAACGAGGAAAATTTACATACCATACATTAAATTTAAACCCTTCCTTCACACGAGAAAATACACTCACATTTCTCCATCTTTTTCCACTTGTCATTCTATCAACAAACCCTACTATTATTCTGGGTCATTTATACTGTAAATATAGTTTAAGCAAAACTTTAGATTGTGAATCTAACAATAGAGAATC